TTGCGCATCTTACATCAAAACAGTGATGGACCTCAATTAAAGCTTCCTGTGGATACTCTGGTCTGGATGGGCAAGGCAGGCTGTGGCTTCACAAGAGCATGATGAGGGCTACCAAACCCAAGCAGCAGCTTGGTAGCCTCCCACACCACAAGACCAAGTCGCAAATCAGGAAAGAACAGAAAAAACAAGGAGGTCTAGATTCTTCCCCCAGCACTTCAGCCCTGGAAGACGCAGGAGGTCCCCATCTGGTTAGACTGGTAAATGCTGTAATACCCTACAACACCCAGAGTGTAACCATGGCTAAGTATTAGGGAGATGATCTAGAGCCATTTCCAATTGAGAGGCATTTGCATAAACTGGACTTAAAGGCAGAACTAGCCTAAACCCATTCCATTTTGTGATTGCACAGAATGTGCTGAGGAGCTGCTGCCGCTGGGCTGTGTGCTCAAAGGAGAGGAATCACTGCACAGGACTAGTGAAGGGCAATTGTTTCAAGTAAAGTAATAAGCTGCTCTGTGCAGCACTAGGCCATCATTTAATGGAAGGCAATACTAATTGCTAACCACTGCCTGGAATGCTCCCATTAATAGAGACCACTGAAACTTCATCTGGGGGTTTATTATTTTTATGTACAGAAAACACGGTCCAATCCAGTACATTTTTAGCCCAGCTTAGTAGCCAGTTCTTTAGCCTTTGCCTTTTCAAGCTTCGCGATGCGAGCCACCGATTTTGGACCCAAGACGTTACCACCCCAGTGACGACGGATCTGCAAAGAAGGGAGAACAGGTTAGATGTTTCATACAATCTCTTGCTACATCACTGAAACTTCCTTAATTACACTCCTTTCTGCACAAGGGAATGAGCTCCCTCAACGTGGATGTCCTACACTTTTCAAGCAGTGAACTACATTTCGGGGCAGCGTGTAATCCAGGAGTTTAAAATCCTTCCCCATTGAATGGTGGTGGATTCAGCCATGACACAGGGGGGATGGAGCTGAGCAGAAGCTGTTGCCCTCTCCACAACCCTACCCCTGCGATAGCTCCATTTACTTGTAACTTGGTGACAGCATTCACATTTTACCCCATCCTCAGTTAAATAATCTGGATACATTGCAAGCAAATCTAGGCACAAGACAACCAACATGCTTAAAAATTATTTCAGACATAGTGACATAACAAGTATTTCACTGGCAAGCTTTTGGGGATGTTTAAAGCACAAACTAAAAGACAAGACGAGCAGCACAGTCAATCTTACCTCATCGTATCTGTCATTGTAGTTGGTCTTCACAGCCTCCACCAGCTTTGCAAGGGCTCCCTTATCCTCCCTGTTGGTGACAGATTTGGTTCCATGAGATCCTCAATTTAACGTTTCCCATAATTTTTTTGCCTCAGGATGTAAGAGCTCATGGTGGCAATGTGATTTTTCTGGTTCAGCATCACTCACAAAGGATTAATCACACCAACCACCAGTGCTTTCGGAACCTGCATTCCCATTGCTCAGACTAAGGTTAATAGTTTCATTTATGTATTTTAAAGCAACTATCCATTTTGGTAAAACAAAGCAATGAGTATCTTCAGGATCCAATAGAGCTCTTTATACAAAAGGACATCTATATTAGACATTATACAGGTAGTATTTTAGTTTTACTACTTTAAACTAGAGACCCGAGTTTGCTATCCATCTGTGAGTCTGTGCTTACAGGAAGTTTGTTTTCTCCACTACAGCAAGTCCAGTTGGCACACAGGATACTTACGGGTTAACCTGGGTGAAAGCAACACAGGTACAGGTTTTCCTGTGGACCAGTCGCCCCAGTCTGGCTTTGCCCTTGATGACACAGTATGGCACTCCCATCTTGCGGCACAGAGCTGGCAAGAAGACCACCAGCTGAAAAGAAACAGAGGATGCTGTATAACTGAGGGAGGACACCTTTTTATTCTTTGGATCAGGCCAGGCTGTGGCAATTGCTCAGTGTTAAAAAGCTCGTTTTGTTCTCCATTGTTGATTCAGGTGAAGAAATTCATACATCATTGCAAGGGCCAAGCCTCATTGTAATGCCAGGACAACTATGAACACACACAGGTAATTAAGTCTTTTTATGCATTCTCTTTTCACACAATGAATATCCTAAAATGCATTTTCACCCCAAGCCCAGCTCTGGCCTCAGCTTAAGTTACACAGGTAGCCTGGAACATGCGCCAGCGAGTGCACTTACCTCAATGGGGTCTACATCATGGGCAATAACCACAAGTTGAGCTTTCTTGTTCTCTACCAGAGTTGTGACACTGTTAATACCTGAAAAACAAGTTATAGGTAAGCTTTGATTATGTTCAGTCTATTTTCAGAGCTCTCATGTAAGCCTCATACAACCAGCTGAGATTCCACAGCGCAGCTTCTGTTCAGTCTATTTTCAGAGCTCTCATGTAAACCTCATACAACCAGCTTTATTATGAAAGTTATGAAAACTTTTCACATCTATTCAGTTGCACAGAGAAGATATTCCAAGTTATGAAAACTTTTCACATCTATTCAGTGGCACAGAGAAGATGGACAATTTGCTAAAGCTCAGGGTTAAAAAGCTCGTCTATTTTGCTCTTCACTTTGAGCTCAGGTGAAGAAATTCATACATCATTGCAATAGCTTGTCCAATCCTGGCTGGCTGGAGCCGAGCACCATCTCTTCCCCTCACAAGCACCACACTCCCACGTGTGCAAGCAGCCAAGTCCATGGATGAAGGTACCTGCTCGAAGGACCGGTGGCCGCTTAGTTGGAGTGTCTCCCTTTCCTGCAGCCTTCTGCTCGGCACGAGCCAGTAGCCTCTGCTTCTTCTCTTGCTTGTTTTCTGGCCTGTATTTGTGTGCCAGCTTCAGAAGCTGTGTAGCTAGGAGAGAACACCTACTAGTTAGTTAGTTACCTCACCTGAAAAATCTAAGCATTACTTTTTTAAAATACGGAAGTGCATCAGCGATCTTGGTGGTTGTCATCAAGTGTGTTTAGACAGCAAAAAGTTAGCATCATTTGCACAGCAGGAGAGCAGAGCCAGGGGAGCCTCTCCAGAGCCTGTATTTACCTCTGATGGCAAGGAGAGCTCCTGCACTGCCTGGATGAGGAAGCACCTATGGACCCCCCCACAGCAATTATGGTTAAAGGTGATGCACTTTCTCCTCTAAAACAACCTGTTTTGCAGTATCTACAGTGGAGTTAGACTACAGAGGTTGGAAGTTTCGTACACAGACACTGTCCCCTGGAAAAAGACTATACTCATTCACAGAAGACCCTGAAGTCCCTTCTCCCTCTGTTTCAGCAAGTCCTTCCAACTCCAGCAATTCCGTGATGCTGGCTTCTCCCCAAAGCCTGCACTCACACAGACTTCTCAGACCATCTGTTTACACAGTTAGAAGAAGCCTCCATCTTCTTCATCAAGCTGGAAAAATGGAGAACTCTGAATTTGGGTCATTAAGTGGGAGCTTTGGCATCTTCTAAACCCCTTTGTGAACTACACAGCAGCTATCACGACTTAAACCAGCAAACTCAAGACTATTAAAGCCTCCCTAAAATGCTTCTGAAGACATTCTTCACTAAGTCTTATTTGACTTCTTTCCTCTTCTGAAGCATATCCCATTAAGGACCCGAGTCAAGAGAACTCCGTGGAGCACATCCTTACCTGTCTGGCGGTCCAAAGCCTGCGTGAACTGGTTAATGGCAGGAGGCACCTTCAAGCGTTTGTAGAGAATGGACCTCTGGCGCTGCAGCCTGATGTAGCGCGGCCATTTCACAAACCGGGTGAGATCCCGCTTCGGCTGGATATCCTGTCCTAAAAAACACAGACTTGGGACTCAAAGCTGTTCCAGACCCACAGAGGAACAGGACAGAGCAGGCACGGGTGCATCAGTGATCTTGGTGGTTCTGTGTCAGCACACCATCACTCAGATAGCAAATATTCTTTCACATCATCTGCACACCAGGCAAACGTGGCACTACAGACTCTGCGTGGATTCACCACACCACGTGCAAAACAGCAAGATTCATATAATGAATCTTTATAACATGGGAAATTCAGCAGATTGTCCATATCCACCTCTGTATACGTAATGAAGGACAGCAACCGCCTCCATCACACTCTACCCTCCACAGCTTTATTAAAACACCCCTCTGATTAAAATTGAGACATCTGCCTATAAAACAAAAGAGTCTTGAGCCCAATATCCACCTACTCACCAATGCCAAAGTTCTTGGGCCTCTTCTCAAAGAGGGGGTTGACAACCTTCTTGGCCTCCTGCTTCTTGACTACAGCAGGGGCCGGTGCCACCTTCTTGCCCTTGGCCTTCTTTCCTTTCGGCTGAAAGGGAGAAACACACTCTTTCTTCATTTGCCTCCGACACTCGGGGGTACTCAACAAATTTCAGTCCATCTGGGGAACGCATCCCTCTCCCCCACACCGGCCGCCTCCCACCCCGCCTCGCTCCTCCAGGGAGGGCAGCCCGTTCGCGGCGGCTTTAGGAGGTTTATGAACCTCCCGGAGAACGAGCCCGTTTAAAACCACGTATTCTCTCCTCCAGCTGGCCGACAATCGCTCAAGAAGCGGCCGGCTCTCCCCAGCCCCGCGCCCCCCGACACCCCCACGGCGGATTACCGGCTACCGAGCCCGGCCCGGGATCCGCCCGCCCTACACCGGGAAAAGCGCTGCGGCCCGGCCGCGCAGCCCCGCTCCCCGACAGGCCCAGACCCGGCCTTCCCGGGACGGTCGGCGATCACCACAAACCGGGCACGAAACACCCCTCCACCGCCCCCCCGGGGCCAGCGAGAAGCCGGTGGGCGCTCCCCACCGGGCCGCGGCCCAGCGATGGGGGCGGATGGCGATGGATGGCCCCGACCCCCGCCCCGCACCGACCGCCGCTCACCATCTTGGACTACGGAAGAGAAAGGG